TTGGGCCGTTACCGGCCGTTAACGACCGTTGACCCCCGGCGCGGGGAGAGCGTAAACGGCCGTTAACTGCCTGGTGCTAAAGCGAGACGCGGTGCCAGGCGGGGCGCTGTGCTCCGGGCACAGCATCCTGTGTGTTGCCGCTGTAAGCATGCGGCATGTGGAGTCTTTCTGGTAGATTTTCGCCTCAAAAATGGGGCTGTCAAGCAATGCCTTTGCCGTCTTTATCGTTTAAATTAAAAGACCAACGTAAAGGACCAGTTCGGGCTGCTTAGCGAGCCCTTACAGGTCATCTCCGCACCGCAGCAACGGTGGCTTTAGCAGCCAAAGCCTCGGACGTTGCACAAATTGATTGATGGTGCAAATAAATATCGTGACATACCGTCTCCGTGAGAGAAACAGCAAAGGTGCATGCGACATCCCAAATTCCCCTCGGCCCGGGGTTAATGAAACACCGCAGAGGTGGTTGCAGGTAGCAGGTCAGGATCCAAAAACGAGGGTTACAGGCTTTTTTTTTTTTTTTTTTTTTTTTTTTTTGGCAAACCCCCCCCCCGGGCCTCCTTGGAGAAGGGAAGGGGCTGCTTACTCTAAGGGAAGCTTTAAAGCCAGGTTGTTGAAAAGGGGTCGTAGGAAGGTGCCCCTGTGAGCAGGGCGGGCTGTGGGCGGCCGCGGGGCCCATCGGCCCTGGCTCCTGCCGGCATTAACGGGCTCCGGGAACCGCTCCGGGAGCCGCTCCGGGAGAGCAGAGCAGCCTAGGGCCGCCCTGGGAAAACGCTGCTGTCTGCGGCAGAGTAAACAGTTTCTAGCGCCGAGAAACGCTGCCTCTCGGAACAGTGCGGTGATAACAGGAGAACTATTTAGTGCCGCTCTGGGGAAATCTTTTGCCTATTGAAAAGTAAATAGAGCTTTTGGTTTTGAGAAAAGCTAAGAAATTAACCGTCATTTCCTTGTTTGATGTGTTTACAAATACTGGCTGCCTATTTATGTATTTATTGACTGTTACTTGAAGCAAATAAACTATCACTTTGAAAAGGTCCTAACATCTGGTCTCCAAACACGCATCCGCGGGTCTGGTTGCCTTTGCAGCGCTTTCAGCTCCTTAGGTAGCCCAGAAAAGGAGGGTAGCTCTCTGAAAATGAGCTTTTTTTCTTTAAGGATAAAACTTTTCCAGTATTCGTTTGCTTCCTGGTGTAGTTAAACAGCGACTAACTTTAAATTTAGGTGTCTGTTGGGAGGGTCCCCTATTCTTTTTAAGACTGGACTGAGCAAATGCTGTCCCAGGAGGAGTGATGGAATTAATGGTTCTTCACGGTAATGGTCAGAGAGTACTGAAAGGAATGGCGCTGTAGAAGGCTGAATTCTCCTGCTAGCTTCGCAATGACAAAATTTTAATTTGAAGCGCACAGAGAAGGAGAACTTTTGAATTTACAAAGAGGCTGTTATGTGCCTTAAAATCAAGGGAATTTACAAATATCGATTTAAAAACTTCTAATGAATTCATTGAAAATTCAGGGAAATGTAATTCCTCCAACAGTTATGATCTTAGATTTGCATCTGTTTAAAATGCATCTCCTCCAGAAGATGATGTTCCTGATAGAACCCTGGTGTGTTAGCTCAGTGCTAATAATTCAGAAACGATGATATTACTATGTTTGTGTGTCCTGAAAAGCGATAAGTAGCAATTCTACTTTAATTGCTTTGACTATCAGATCTTATTTTGGCTCCCCATTGACTTGCAGTGGCTCTGAATGTTATTTATATAATGATGGTCCACCCAGACAGAGTGTGCTGGGTGTGTGGAGCTCGAGGTACTGTCTCAGCACTGAAAAACATAAATGCATTTAAACATAAATACATTTTTTTTGGTACACAAGTCAAAGAATTGCAATAAAATCTTGAGAATTAAATTTTAATATCTCAATCATGGCCTGAGTGGCTCGCGGCAGAAATTCTTGGGAAAATATAAAAATGTAGAAAACAGTGCACATTTATTACTTTCTGAGGAAGAACACTCCTCAGAGACTGTCAAGTATATATGGGGTTAGGACTTATTAAACAAAGAACTGTACTTAGAAAACAACTACCAAAGGAAAAGTAAATGCTGAATATTATGATTCATGTGAATAATACTTAACTGGATATATAAAAAATTATGGTAACAGCAAAGGCAGTACTAGAATAAATAGGAAAGTGATTTGCAGAAAAATAGGGATAATTCAGTGTGTTTTTTTCAGATTATCTTTCAGAAACTAAAACAAATGGCTCTTGCGTGAGTCCCTGACTTACATTAAGCTTCCTGTTACATAATGAAATCATTTCTATTGCAGTTTTTCCCCTCTGGTAATTTCTCTTTTGTTTTGCTCTTTTTCAGTCTTTGATTAGCTTGTTGTCACCTGGCATCAGAACTGATGGAGGAGACCTTCCCTGGGCACTCCAGATCTTATGGGCTGGAAAAAGAAGGGAGAAAAAAGACAAGCAAGGACAATGACAAGCTTAAGAGCAGAGAGATTTAATTCCAGGAGGCAGGATCAGGAGAAGGTGAGCGAGGTAAGATGTGGAGAGATGAGGGGTATTATCATATTTCACAGGTTGCCCTTGCAATGTCTCCTTCCTCCCTTCCCTCTTGCACAAGACATCCACAACAAATATTAGCTGATTTCTCTGGGAAGGATCACAGGGTTTGGCCTCAGAGGAAGGGAGTGAGTTTTGCGGATGCCCATGACTCTACAGGTAAAGGTTAAAGCATTTGCAGTGTGGACTGTGCACCAAAATGACATATTTTCTTCTTACATACATTGACATTTTATGGCCTACAGTGCTTAAAAACCTTTGTTTTTGGAAACTTGAAGTCCATTTTCTCTTTTAATTATAAGCACTCCAGAGGGCATCTCATTAAGGTTCCAGAAAGGAGCAAGCTTGTCACAGACATAAGGAGTAATTTTATAGTGCTAATTAAATGTGATTGGATTTTTCAATTGAGTAATTAGTAGGAATGTTGGCTGAAAGTTTCCGTTGTGAAGGGAGTTTTGCAGGGCAGAAAGAGGAGAGTTCTTAGTAGAAATTCAGTTTCTTCTCCGGGCTGCAACGTGAATACATCTGCTTCAGTATACACCATTCTTTAAAAGTTATTGACCTTGGAAATAATGTCAGCAGGCTCCTAGTTCTCCACATAATTGTCCATGTTGCAGAAGAAGAGGTTTTAAGGATAGACAACAAAAAGAATTTCTCCATTTTTATCATCTTTCTCTTAATTCGGGGCCATGCTATTAGCAATTCAGCATGGTGCACAAGTAACAAATACTATCGCATGCCTCAGATCTGGACAGCTGGTTCTCCAGATTTTGTACAGAACTGCTTTACAACCTGTTTGCTTGGCATACAGGGTTAGCACTCCGAAGGGAGGCCTCGATAAAGTGAAGGCAAGATCCGCATTAAATGGCATTGCACTCTTTGCCCCTAGGGCAGTTTAGATCAATTTGGGGTGAGGATGAATGAGGCCCTGTCTCTGCAAAAGAATCAGAAAAGCAAAAGCCAGTTTGCTCATGAAAATCCACACTGAAGCAAAAGGGATCTCTTGACTAATCTTGGTGGGATTCGGGGCTGATAAGGATCACTTTCGTGGGCAAAAGGACATAACACATTTGTGAACAGGTACTTTTTTTTTTTTTTCTAATAAAGTATGCCTTGACTGGGGGCACTTTCATCGGTTTTGGGGTTGGACTTTGGGTTTTTGAGTCTTTGTGCTGCGAACACTAGCCGAGCCCATTGCCTCTGTGTGGGAAGCTTTTCTGACCTTTCAGTCAGATTGAAAGCAGGCCCCCCTCGTTGCCATGCACGAGTCAGGCAGAGCCGTGGGTACCAGACCGTCGCATCCTTTCAGGATGAATGTCCTTTTCAAGCGTGGCTACTCCGCCTCAGCTGTGCTACAAAATAGCTGTCTTGCTCCTAATTGATAGTCACACATACATAGATCTAAAGATCCTGCTGGCCTTTTATGCTATCACACCTCCACGATTTTTATTTTTGTTTTAAATTATAGCAAGTCTATTCTGTTCTTTTTCATTCTATGCAAGACTGCCAGATGATGCAAATTTAACAGCAAATCTTTCCTAACATTAGACTTATGTCTCTGCTAGAATAAATAAGATTCACAGAAGTCATCACAGAGACAGTAATTAGCATGAGGATCTGAAGCAGAATGTCCACTGCTCCAAATTCCTTCTCTGCTTCTGTTTCAAGGAAGCATTCCCTATAGGAAGCTGTGCCGTTTTTGCTGCTCACTTCATTGTTATACCCATGACGCGTGAATATACTATAAAACTATTTCCTTTTCTGATGTGATGAAGAACAAATTTTAAAAACTCCTTCATCTATTTTCCCCTTATATTGCTAATATTGTTGAGAACTAATTCTTTCTCTATGTTGTCATAAAATATACAGGGACGTTTGGAGCACGCACTAAATGAGAGCTACACTTTTCTGCTTATGGGAAAACATAGCTGTTCTTTAGCCCCAAAGCACTGCCTGTTTCTAGACAGAATTGATAGCACATAATTAATTTTAGTCTTTCACTGAAGCAATGTTTATTTCCATTTGATGTTCAATAGCAAGTACTTATACACTATTCAAACTGGAAGTATGCACAGGACTGCTGTTAGATTATCATGTTAATAGTGCATGTTAAGCACTATTAAGTTTCCTGCTTTCAGATGTTGGAGTTGTAGCTTGAACAGGGAAGTATCACATAGTTGTGTGGTTTGGAGTAAGAGGAAGATGGATCTGAAAAAAGGAATCACATTTGAAAATAAATCACAGCTGAAAAATGATCCGGGAAGCATAAATAAATACTTAAGAATCAATACTGCTCAGCACATTATTTGTGCAGATCAGGATTTCTTACTCAGCCAGCCGTGATGTACCCATCTAAAGCTAGCGGTTAGTTTCTTGCACTTTCAATAATCAAATACTGTTGAAATTAAACTGGGGCAGAATTAGCAGTCCATGCTGGCTGCTTTAGTTATCATTTCTGTTCAGATCTGCGTTAGCACTGTCTAGGGAACACAAACAGAACACCTGTAATTATTACAGCAAATTACTGAACTGACCCTGCTGGATACAAAAATGGAGCAAAAGCTGGCTCGCTAATTAATTTCCTCAAGTGCTTTTGTAACTTGTGCATGTAGCATGACACAGGCCAGATAAAGAAAAGGCAGGAACAGAAGAGACTCAGTGCAGTGAATGATAGGTGATGTGCTGTTAATAACGTGAGCGTAGGGATTCTGCAAGTGCTGGG